ACTCTCACAAAGACTCACACACACACACACACACACACGCACACACACACACACACACACACTCACACACAGCTGCGGATAATAATGGAGCTTTTTCATTCGTTCCCAGCTGACAGCTCTCCAAAACCAGCTAATTATCACCACAGACAGACAGTTGATCTGTGTTAAATGAGTTCAGCTGGAACAGAAACTGTCACTATCCTTCCTTTTAATCAGGATCAAACTCACCAAACACACACACATGTTGACGTCACCGTATGATGGATTAAATGCTGTCTGTGTGTCTCTACAGGAGGAACGTGGGTTATTGAGCAGTTTGTTGGGGTTCGAGCCGAACTCGATGCTTTGCGTTCCTGTTATCAGTCAAGCCACTGGACAGGTGGTGGCGCTAGCGTGTACCTTCAACAAACTGAGTGGACAGAGGTGTGTGATGACATTACAAATAGTGAAATATTATTACGATTTAAAACAGCTGTTTTCTATGTGAATATCTGTTAAACTGTACTTTATTTCTGTGATGCGCAGCTGTATTTTCAGCATCATTACTCCAGTATTCAGAGTCACATGATCTTCAGAAATCATTCTAATATGCTGATTTGCTGCTCAAGAAACATTTCTGATTATTATCAATGTTGAACACAGATAATTTTCTGTGGAAACTGTGACACGTTTTATTTTTCAGGATTCACAGATGAGTAGAAAGTTCAAAAGAACAGCATTTATTTGAAATAGAACTCTTGTGTAACATTATAAATGTCTTTACTGACACTTTTGATCATTTAAAGGAATAGTTCACCCATAATTGATTGAAGTTTCTTCATCAGATTTGGAGAAATGTAGCATTGCATCAGTGTCTCAGCAATGGATGCTCTGCAGTGAATGGGTGCCGTCAGAATAAGAGTCCAAACAGCTGATAAAAACATCACAATAATCCACAAGTAATCCACAGCACTCCAGTCCACCAGTTAACATCTGGAGAAGACAAAAGCTGAAACAAATCCAGCATTAAGATGTTTTTAACTAAAATACATTGAGTCCATAATCCATAATAACGCTTCCTCCAGTGAAAAAGTGTTCTGGTGTGAATCAGGAGAGAAATCTGCACAGATCAAGCAGCGTTTAAACAGCTCTAAACTAATATGTGGCTGGATTTTAATGTGAAAGACAACAGGAGATGCACTTTTTCACTGGAGGAAGAGATATGGATTATGAACTCTATGGTATTTGAGTTAAAAGCGTCTTAATGGTGGATTAGTTTCAGCTTTTGTCTTCTCCAGATGTTAACTGATGGACTGGAGTGCTGCGGATTACTTGTGGATTATTGTGATGTTTTTATCAGCTGTTTGGACTCTCATTCTGACGGCACCCATTCACTGCAGAGCATCCATTGCTGAGACACTGATGCAATGCTGCATTTCTACAAACCTGATGAAGAAACAAACTCATCCTGATCTTGGATGAACTGAGAGTGAGCACATTTACAGCAAATATTCATTTTTGGCTGAACTATTCCTTTAATGCATCTTTGCTGAATAAAAGCTTTTTGAACTGTAGTGTATTGTGGATTCTACTTTTTACAAAAACTGGTTTGTGTGTAGCTGGCATATTAATCAATAATCATAATTCTTTATTTGATTAAATTGTGTTTTCGTGTTTCACAGACACTTGATGAATGGTTTTCTGTAGTTAGTCAGATGGGTCCGATTCGCCGGCGGCCCAAAGTTACTGATCTGTGAAAGAAAAATAGGTTATTTGTTATTGCTTATTATTCCTGTTCAGATATCTCTCCTGTTTGGATTGATTCTTTAACAATATCATATGAATAACAGACAAACAGAACTAAAATAATGAACTTAATTTAGTGTCCCATTGTTGTGTTTAAAGCAAAAAGCACAAATCCCATGTTCTTTGAAGAGATAAACTATTATGTATACTATATTTGCACCATTGATTCTGTTAATGTTCTGTTTATTAGCTGTTTTGAAACAATCTGTATTGTATAAAGTGCTATAAAAATAAAGGTGACTTGATATTTATGAGAATATTAGAAAAATATCATTTAATCTTTAAATAATTTACTCCCAAACAGCTTTATGTAAGATCATTCTGTAACCCAGTTACAAATTCTGATTCTTACAAAGTCTTATTTTTATGTTATTCCAACATTTTTAACAAAGATCTTCATTGGTATGTTTAATTTAGAATATTTATTTAATGTTTATTGCTGTAGCAAAATAAATAAATAATTGCATGGCATTGAATTGAGTTAAATTGAATTGCATTGCGTTGCATTGAAATAAATTGAATTGATTTTTAATTGCATTGAATTTATTTTCATTGCATTGCACTGAAATGAAAAATCACATAAATTGTTTTAGAATTTTATTCACACATCACATACTGTATGTTGATAACAGGGTTGCAAAAACGTTGAATCCCTTATGTTATTATAATCAGCCAAAACTAAAATTAAAACCAAATTGTTGCTTGAGATAAAAAAATAAATAAACTGAAATAAAATATAAAACTTTTTAAACACATTTATTTCAGCTTGTTGCCAAGTAAACAAACTCATAAACCTCATTTTCATTTAGATTAACTTGAAATACTAAAATAACTATAACTAAATAAATTACAATTAATAAAAAATACAACATTACTAAAACTTTAACTAAAATTAAAATAAAAACAAAATATAAAAATAAAAACCCATTTGAAATATTTAAAAAATTCCAACACTGAGCATAAGTCATGAGTAGCACAGGTATATTTATAGCAATAGCCAACAATACATTGTATGGGTCAAAATTATAGATGTATCTTTTATGCCAAAAATCATTAGGATATTAAGTGAAGATCATGTTCCATGAAGATATTTTGTAAATTTCCTACCGTAAATAAATCTAAACTTAATCTTTGATTAGTAATATGCATTGCTAAGAACTTCATTTGAACAACTTTAAAGATGATTTTCTCAGTATTTAGATTTTTTTGCACCCTCAGATTCCAGATTTTCAAATAGTTGCATCTCAGCCAAATATTGTCCTATCCTAACAAACCACACATCAATGGAAAGCTATTTATTCAGCTTTCAGATGATGCATAAATCTCAATTTTACAAAACTGACTGGTTTGTGGTCCAGGGTCACATATATTTACTTTTGCCTTTTGAGCTGCTGATTAAGTAAGGGCATTAATATGGTGTTTGTATTTGTTGTGTTTTGAGGTACATGGAGGCGGATGAGCATGTGATCCAGCACTGTTTCTGTTACTCATCGACGGTTCTCACCAGCACACTGGCCTTCCAGAAAGAGCAGAAACTCAAGTTCGAGTGTCAGGTGAGAAGACGAGAAACTGACTTAAAGGGACAGTTCACAAAAAATACATCTGTCATCATTTACTCACCCTCGTGTCGTTCCAAACCGGTATGAGTTTCTTTCTCCTTGAGAGCATGAAAGAAGATATTTTGAAGAATGTTGGTAACCAAACAGTTGACGGTAGCCATTGACTTCCATAGTATGGAAAAAATACTATGTACAGTGGTGGCCAAAATGATTCATTTTGAATAAATCATTTTGGGCCACCACTGTAAGTTAATTAAGCTATTTGAATAGAACTCCATTGCATTCAATTGAACTGAATTGAATTGAACTAAATTGAGAGAATGCGTGAGAGAGAGTGATGGACTCTATATGGACAGCTCTGGGAGTCTCACAGTATCCAGAGTGCTGTGAAATCCCACAATGCACCAGGAATAGCACATACTGCCCTGGCCCTTCAACACACA